GGTTTCCAATTGAAATTAATTATGCTATGGTTTGAAGGGATTAATGCTTCGCAACTACAAGCTCAAAGCATTTAACAAGAAGATCATCATATTCAATGTACGAGCACGAACCATCTCAAGTAATATGAATCGTTCACTCTAACCTAGGGTAGTGATACGACTCGTTCCTCGTAGCATGGTTCGTCCCATACCTTGAATGTGAAGGAATAGAAAACTCATGTATGGATAATATTCAACAATCACAGAAAGTCAAATATTTGAAAAGATAATGAAAATTATATATAAAGAATTTCTAAAACACCATACAATGGTTCAAACCTTTACATAATATAAAATCAAAAAAGAAAACTACATAATTACATGGCTAGGGTTTCATCAAAACCCTAGAAAAGAAGACTAGCTACTCATGGAGGAGTGGAAGGAGGTAGATGGAGAGGAAACCACTAGTGGGTTTGTGGGGTAGCTTTTGTTTCTCTTCCTTTCCAAACCCTAGCCTCTCCCTTTAGGTCAAAACAACTTCCGAACCCTAATCCAGCCTTTTACTTGCCTTTTTATACTTCCAATCTCGTCCAAACAGGTTTAAAACGTCGGTTTGACTTTCCCAGAAAAAGTCAACGCACGTGCGGAAAAGTCAACTCTGCCCAAATTCTGTCTTTTTGCTCATTTTATGCTCCAACGATGTACAACCTGATTGACACTCAACACACATAAAATATACAGTTCGACTAGCAAGTGAAGTTAAGAGATTCTAATTAACGGCCTCAATGATGTACATTTCGGCCTTAATCAATTAGAGACTAAGACCAAGACCTTAGGAAGCTTACCTTGGAAAGATGAAGAGTTGGATGGATAAGCATGGTGGACCAAGACCAAGACCAAGACTTGGCCAAGACCTTGGATAACTTAGAGGGAAAGAAAAGAAAAACCAATATATAACACATTATAATATTAAAATACCTGTTAACACTAATCCTACATTGCATTAGTAAGAGAAAATCCAGCTTAATTTCGTACCCTTTGGAGCACATACATGGATCGAGAAACGGAGGAAATTTTTTATGATAGAAGAGAAGAAATACATCTTTTTATATCCAAGGATGGCCACAAAAGAGTCCACCTTTAGATATTCATTTGTGAAGCATTGACTGGCCTGTAAATCAACCGGTCAAGTCCAAGCCCAAGCCCAAGCTTGTCCAATCTTCATGGCCAATGCCCAAGCCACAGCTAAGGAAAGTCATTTTGCATCATGACATGTGTCTTAGACAAAATCATTCCCACATGGTTGGAGCCTCGTCAAACACCTTTCAATGCCCTCTTGTTTTCTCGACCTGTTTTAAATAGTTTTCTTTTCGAACAAATAGGCTTTCTTAATTATAAATTTATCAAATTCATGTCATTAAAATAAGCAAACCAACATTTAGAATTCAAAAACATCGACAAATATAAAATCCAAATGAAAATTAATATATTCATATTTTGAAGAATTCAAAGAATCATATAACGGTTAATCCTCTTTGCATTGCTCTACATCGAAAAATGTGTCAATACTATACTTTGTCCTCATTACAATTTTTTTTAATGCACAACCGGCAAATTGATGTGACCTCTCAACGAACTCTCCGCTCATGCGAATGCGACGACAGTGAAGATGACGACGAATTCGACGTACTTCTTGAAGTTCCGGCTCCGTAGAACAAGTCCGACAAGTAATTCCCAATATCGTCGGGGGCATATCGGACAATTGACTCATCTCCCATTTGTCGCCGAAACATGGTCCGAAACTTCTGGTAGAATTCCCCGTACACCGGCACGAGCTTCCTTGCCAGCGAGGTTCTGATCTCGTCTCGGAGTTTCGGGTCGGGTACGACCCAAGAGGTTTGTTTCCTGTACGTCTCTTCGAAGGCTGTGTTGAAATTCCTGAAGCGAAGTCTGGCTTCATCTGGTGAAATATTGGCCGTTGGATTTAACTCCGGCAACGATACGATCACTTTGTTCCAACCCATTCGCTCGTAATTCGCTGCGTACTGTTTCATCTTAGCTTCGTGCTTTAGTAACCAGTCGTCTCCTAAGACGAGGTTCAGATTCGAAGTGCGGACCTTGGAAACGACGTAGTTTAGGTTGTTAGCCAAAAAGAGATAGGATAGAGAGACGTCTTTGTAAAGCTCGGCTTTGCTGTCGAGCTTGCAGAGGAGGACGAGGACGAGCCAGGCCAAGCGCACCGATATGGCCGTGGTGGGGCTGTTGTCGGAGGTTGGGCTCGAGAAGTAAGATTCGGGCAGCGGAGACTGGTTCGAGAGAGGCCAGTCGGCGACAATGTCAGTGAGTGCTCCGCTGTAATCGGAGAGGAAAACGACGTAGTTCATGACGTAGCGAGTCAGGGGGTGAACTCCGCCCCCTGAAACCGGCGCTTTCGCGATATCTTTCTGGATTGCGGTTTCGAAGTCTGAGAGCATGGTACGAGCTGCGTCGCCGAGCTTCACGAGAGACGTGATTGCCTGAGATCTGACGGTTGAAATCGATTCGAATGAGAAGATGGACTCGATCTCCGGCCAATACTCTGATATCGCGTCGTAGAGGTCAAGTATTCGAAACATTTTCTCTGGAGATAGTTTCTTGAACTTTGCAACGAGTTCTGGAAATCCAAACAGAGTCATAGCACCTTCTTTGGCGATTTCAGCGAAGCACGATTCGGAGATTCTCGAAGATGCAGAGAAGACGTGGTCGCAGAGGATTCTCTCCCCGTAGAAGACCGTCTTCACGGCGATCTTCATCGCGTGGAGCCAGCTTTTGATCTTGACCTCGATCACCTCCCAATCCATTTTCTGAAACTGTGAGGGATTCAGCTTCTCAACTCCGAGATAGTACAAGCTCTCGTCAACAATCGATTTCCGAATAATGTTGTAAATTCTCACGCACTCTTTGCCGTATCCTGACGAAATCATAGAGTCAGCAATCGTTTTCAGATCTGACATAGCAAGCTCAGAAACTCTCTCAACTTCCGAGAGTGAATCACGGGCTACCTGACTCTCAACCTCTGATCCATCTTCTTCGAAATCAGAAGTGCTCGATCTCTCCGAAACTCGCGATGACCTGCTCGAAACCGACTCGGCATCTAAATTGTTCCGATTCGTGGATAAAATCAGGTAAAACTCTTTCTCAAGCCTCTTCATGGCGATTTGCATCAAGTTTTGAGCACGGACGAGCTTCTCGGAGCTCGAACCCTCCGACATGAAGAATTGCATAGCGGCCTGCAAATCCTTGGCGGATCTGAGGAACAGCTTGGCTTCTTTTCTGTCACTGCCGGCGAAGAGAGAGTCGAGTTTGGAGCCCCCATCGATGTCCCATTTGGTGAAAATGTCATGCGCAGTCTCAAGGTTTTCGTCGATCATGTAAACCCGAAGAGGCGGAGAAGGGGCACTTCGGTGAGGGGAAGAGGGGTAAGAATAGTGGGATGGCGATGAAGGCCTTGATGAAGAGAAGAAGACAGTCCTCATTCCTTTTTTCGGCATATGCAAATGTGTGTATGTATGTGTATGTGAGTATGAGATTGAGTTAATTGCTGTTATGTTGGGAAGATTTAAGAGGCGTGAGAGTTTGAGTTTGAGTGTGACGTTAGAGTTGATTTGTGTGTATGGAGAATAGTAGAGAGAGAAAATTGGTGATGGGAATGAGAGGAGTGTTGTGGTGGGTATGTATTTATGGAGGGTTGAGTGTAGGAGGAGGGACGAGGTTCGCTGTTACGAAATAGTTGACCCAGCGTTACGCGGTGTCAATTAATAATAACTAGGCTTATTATTATTTCTGCTGTAATTTGGAGGAGCTATTCAATGTGTTTGGTTTGAATTTTTTGGATTTTTTAGTGAATACTTTTAAAATTTTAAATATTTTTTTTTATTTTTTTAGATGCACCTTACTTAGATGTATCTAAAAAGTAAAAAATTGTGAAAAAATATTTTAAAAAATTAAGAAATACATAAAAATACAAAATATGTACTGGATTCTTGTATTTTTTTTTTATATTTTTGGTATTTAGTTAATTTTTAAAAGATTTTTTTTATAATTTTTTTTACTATTTAAGTGTATTTATATTAGGTGTATCTAAAAAGTAAAAAATTTACATAAAATATTTTAAAAAATTAATAAAAACAAAAAAATACAAAAAAATAAGAAAATAGAATTTTCTGAAAATAGTTTTTTATCAGTTTCTTGCAAGCTAAGAATGTGTTAATTGTTAGGCGGTAATTGTTTTTGATTGTTGGCACCCTGGATGCCACTTGCTGGGTCACATATTTTCTTGAGCTGTTTTCATTTTGAAAAATGATACTTTAGGAACGGTTTCGTTTGGAATGTAGGTTGGCGTTTTAACTTTTTAGGTTTTTTTTTTTTTTTTTTTTTTTTTTTTTTTTTTTTTACTCTTTTAGTTTGGGTTAAAGAGTTTTGTTTGGGAATAATTTTTTAACTTTTAAAATTTTTTTTATAAGAAAATAGTGTAATGATTATAGATTGGATGTGATGTTTTATTTTTTGTAGCTAAAATAACCTATTTTATCTTTTGTGGCTAAAATAACAAAAAAAAACCCCAAATCTATGTTCCCAAACGGAGCCAAAGTCATGTTTTAGATTTAACCCCGATTTGGCATTTATGTTAAGGCTAAATAATTACAAAAGACAAAATTTATTATAAAAATCAATAAAACAAAATATTACTTTTTCATAATCATTACATTTTTTTTTATACAAAAGTCAAAAAAGTCGTAAAACAAAAACCAAAACAAGGTTAAAAAAGTCAGACTAAAAAAGTCTCAACACAAAAAAGTTGACTATATTAGCTAATACCAAATGAACTCTTTTAGTAATGTGTAAATAAGATAATTGATTGATAATTAAAAAATATTTATATATTTTTTGAAATGATCTAAATAAGTATATTTTTTATTTTTTACGGAAAAAAATGTGTAAAAAAGTAAAGAGGTAATATGGCTCAAAAAAGATAAAAAGATAAAAATTTTGTTATTTTAGAAGATACCAAATAGTCTCTTAGTTATTAAGCAATCTTTTTCTTGACATATCACTGAATTTATAAAGTAGGTCTAATTTTTTTGCCTGAATAACAATCAATGTGTTTGATTTCAATTTTCTGAAAATTTTGTCTTTTTTGTTTTTAGTGAATAATTTTAAAAATTTAAGCAATTTTATTTTTTTTAGATATACCTAAGTAAAAAATATTTAAAAATCAATAAATATACGAGAATGTAAAAAATATACTGAATTCTCATTTTTTTTTATTTATACTTTTGATATTTAATGAATTTTCTAAAGATTTTTTTCACAAATATTATACTTTTTAAGTATATTTATGTTACGTATATCTAAAATTTAAAAAATTACTTAGAATACTAAAAAAAATCAATGAAAACAAAAAAAATACACAAAAATAAAAAAATTTAATTTTCTGAAAAGTAAATTTTGAAAAATCAAACCAAACAAGCTGAATGCTCTTTCAAATTTTGTAGTGACAACTTTGAAAGTATTACTAATAAATGTATTTTTAAAAACAAAATAATTTTGTGCTTTTTTTTAGGCAAAGAATATGGTCCCAAGGATAAAAATTCATCACTAAAAAATATATATATATATATATATTTGTCAACTAAAATATTTTTCTAAAAAATAAAAAATATATATATATATATATATTTTTGTCAACTAAAATATCTCGCTTCTAAAATTTAATTGTTCCTAAATTTTTGTTTTTAAAATTTTAATTTGTTATAGTGTAGATAGTGTTTTTACACTACTCTTTTTTGACAATAGTACTCCATATTTTATAACTTGTATCAAAATTTACATATCACACTATTTAAATAGGCTCTAATAAAAAAATAATTAATGCGTAATTGTTAAAAAAAAGTTCTACGATTTTTTGTTCTTTAAATTTTTTTAAAAAATAAATAAAAATAAATTATTCTTTCTCCTTTTTGTTTACTTATCTTTCAATTCTTGATATATTTCGTTATTATTAAGGTTAATCATATTTGTACAATATAGTTGGACTATTATAATTTCTTTTATCTGTTTAATTCACTCCTCACATTTCAAATGTCATGTGATTAATTTGCTTATCTTGCAAGAAGTTTTTTAGCAAGACAAGTATATATAAATATCACATTTATTTTTCACGCGACATTTTATATAACATTAACCACATTATTTAATGAATATTACACAATACATTTGGTGAGTACATTTAAATTTTATAGTCAATTGTGATCTCCCCAATATTACATCATATTTTAAGAACATAAAGGGAAACGAAGATGAACTTTTACGAAAAGATTAGGCCTTGGTTTCAAGTAGAATATTACTTTCCTAAAAGAAAAGGTGTCACAGTTTTTAAATACTTTAGATGGATTAAATGAAATTAATATAAAGTTACGACTTGTAATTGTTGAATCTAGAATCTAGATAGAGCCAGGTGCAACTGTGTTTCTTTTTCTTTTCTTTTTTTTTAAGTTGTTGAATTCGTCATGTTTGCTGAATCAACTCTTCTTTGTTGTTGTAGGCGTGGTGATTAACAATGACCCAACATGAGCTAAACCGTTCGAACTTTTTAAAAAAGGAAAATAAAAAGTTCTACTTGCACGCTATCCTATCCATTGACTCTTTTTTAAGCCTACCATTATCTATTATACAATTATATATATATATATATATATAATAACGTTATCTATCATGAATTTTTGTTTTAAAATTTATGTTGAAAATGAGATGTATGATATAAATTTAAAGTCAATGAAAAATAGGTCGCACGAATTTAAATAATTTTGATGCATATTTGTTGACCCCATAATTTATTTTTATGTCTATTGTAACTTGTCGATTATGGCCAAATCTAATTTAATTGATTGTGACTTATCAGTTATTATTTGTTGATTCAGACTATAAGTCATCCTTAAATAGTAAACTTGACCACATTTATTACTATTAATATTAGTATCATCTTTATTATTATTATTATTATGATTGCTAGTTTTGTGCAGAATATGAAGGAATTAGGTGGGTGGCGAAATTCAGTTACTTTTCTTCACATTCTTCTTTACTTATTTTCCCCCAAAGAAGTGTTGTTTATCGATTTACATCTTGTCGATCGACCCTAAACTGAATTTTTCTTTAAAATAGTTTTTTAATACTTTTATGGTTAATTTTTTTAAGTATATAGTATTATTGACTATTTAAATTATCAACTAACAGGGAAGAAAGAGGAAGAAGAATATTTAAAGAAAAAACAAATCCACAAAAATAAATAAATAAATAAATAAGTGCAGATGTGTTTTCGTTTTTATGCTTGTCCTATTCTTTTGTATTGGACTCAAAATCTACCAAATCAAAAGACAAAACAAAAAGGCATTGAGAGAGGGCTTGGTCAAACATAATTAGGAATAAATCAAATAGAGTTTTTTTTATTATATATTTTTAATCGGAATCACATAAAGTTGATAAAATCTCACGTAAAGTGACCAAATCATTGTCAGATTTTAAGCATGAGGGTATGACGAACTCAAATCAATTGACAATAATAACAATTACTTTCCCCAACTTCCTCTCTATAATATATAAAAAGTAATTTTATAGTATTTTTGTGCTTAAAAAAATTATTATTATTGTCCTCTTCTATTTTTTTCCATCCAAATCAACCGTCATCCACGATTACGCAATTAAATGTTAATAGATTAATTTTTAATTTGAGAATTATGAAAATCTTATTTATGATACTAAAACTCTTTAATTTCTTAATAACTTGCAAAAATTTTGACTAACAGAACTAAGGCTTGGTTTGGGAAGTAGGTTGGCTTTTTGGCTTTTTGGTTTTTTTGGCTATTTTAACCTGGGCTAAAAAGCTTGGTTTGGGAAGGACTTTTTGACTTTTTGACTTTTTTGACTTTTTTTGTGAGAGAAGAATGTAATGATTATAGGTTGGATGTGATGTTTTGTTTGTTATGGCTAAAATAGCCTATTTTATTTTTTGTGGCTAAAATAGCCAAAAAAGCCTGAAAACCATCTTGCCAAACAGAGGCTAAATATGCATGTAGAAAAATTATTTAAAAATTATTCTAAAAGTAAAATTTATTTATTAAATTATTTTGAGTGTAGTCCACACCACCACCTAATTAAAATTGAGAAAAATGTTACTAGGTACATTTTATCATAAGAAAGTTATGAAATTTTATAGAAAAAATTATTTTGTTACATTTTTTGTGGTGATAACTTTTTTTGTTAATTTAAATCTAGATAAATTTATCCTGCAATAAAGTTGTAATTTGAAACAAAAGGAAAAGAGATTATGCACCCATGTGCTCCATGTTAAAAAAATAGCCTTTGTTAATTGTAAATATTATTTTACTTATTGAGTTTTATTAATGACAATATTTATTAATAAATTAAAAATATTTATACGAGAATCCGTATCCAAAGGTCACTTATTAATAAAATTCATATTATATAATTATTTTAAATTGAATAATATCATACATTTTCACGACACAAGTCAATGAACTAAAATGCATATGAAATCACTCATTTGTATTTAAATTTTTTTTACAAAAAATCAAAATAAAAATTTTAATTATTTTTGACATTTTTTTAATATAAATTTTATTAATCAAAGGGTGTTTGTAAACAA